ATTAAGACTCATTGTTGGTTCTGCTCAGATTCTTCTTGTCTGAACTAAATGTTCTAACAGAAGTTGATGTGATGTTCAGGTCTGCCTGTGGACCTGCAGTGGCTCCCAGAGGACAAGAAGAGAGAAGAAGACCCCGACATCAGAAAGATGCTGCTGGAAACACTTTTACTGGTACGCACATAACACACACAACAAACACACACATGTTGACTCATGTTTTTATGTTGAGTTCTTCACTGTTTGTCTCTTGTGCAGCTGACAGCGACCAAAGCCGGCCGGCAGACACTGAAAGACAAGAACGTTTATCCGATCATGAGAGAGTTCCACAACTGGGAGAAGGACGTCCAGGTTACAGCAGCCTGTGAGAAACTGGTCCAGGTAGGAACGATCGAATCATCAAACATCTTAAAGGCCTTTGAGTCTTTGCTGAAGCATCCTCTCTCTCTCTCTCCAACCTTAGCTGTCACTATCAATAAAATCCCCCCTAAAATATCAAAATAATCTGTCAAATACATAACTAGAATATTATCCGGCAATTAATGAATACTCTCTGGAAATGTGGCTTTTTGTGCTTTTATTGTGGAGGTTCGTTGAAGTTTTATTCTCATACTACGGTGTCTCCCTTCTCCTTAAAAACAATCCAATATTCAAATTTATTTTGGAGTTTAACTATTAATTTGTTGTTCTTAAAGTCTATTGCCATGTAGATTGAGTGGCATCTAGTGGTGTTGTTCCAGATTGCAACTCACTCGCTTCAACCTCCCTTGTCCATTTGCGAGGGAGAAACTACGGTGTCTAATGACCTCTATCTAGAGCCAGTGTTTGGATTGTCCACTCTGGGCTACTATAGAAACATGGTGGTTCAAACACAGTGGCTGCCAGTGAGTTTCAGACACTAATGAAAACAAACATATGAATATTATAATCAATTACTGCAGATAGATCCTCCTAAATGTTACACACTGGACCTTTTAAATAAAATAAAACAAGACATAATAAATGAAATGTTAATGTTAATTTTGTATTCATTCAAAGTGCAAAGATCATACAAGGAGTGTTTTTGTGGTGCTGGTTTCTGAGTCCAACTGAAAACAGAAACTGAGCCTTGTTTGTGTATTTTAATACTAATAATAGAGGAATGAAACAATGATAAGTTTTGTTTTTGCAACCGTACAAACTGAATTAAATGACTGAGTGAAGATTTCACATGACTGAGCTGCTTTCAGCCCGATTAATGTTCCTGAATCAGGAAGGAAAATAAATGTCAGACCCAACAATAAACCCTTGAATCAGCAGACAGTTTGTCATAGCAGGAAAAGAACAGGTGTATTTAATAACATTATTAAAGGCTGTGTTCCACTTAGAGGGAATCTGGTATTGTGTGTACAGGCTCATCAATATGTTACTGGGACACTTGTTAATATTATAAATTCCACCTGTGCTTTTTTTTCTGCTTTGACAAGTCAAAATATTGGGTTTTCTTTTTGTTCAGTGCGTCATAGTGGAAGATAACAGACTGATGGAAACAGTCAGCAGTCAGATTGTTGGTTTTTAGATCCATAACGTGCTCAAACAACGTGGTTCCTGATAATCCTGACTCCAGAGGTTTAAAGTCACAACTGGAGCTGAAATGATCGATACATTTTTCAGTTGTTTATGAAAATTATATATTGATTATTTTGAAAATCTAATACTTTTTTAAGAAAGAAACAGAACCTTAATTACTATCATTGGTAACACTTCAGGGTTCCCACGCATCCTGGAAAATCTGGAAAACATGGAAAGAGACTACTTTTTACAGTCACGGAAACACCTGGAACTTGATTAAAATGACCAAATATCCTGTGAATATTCGTTGTTGTCCTGTAAAATGTTTATAGTATTTCGGCCCCCTCGCTCAAATTGCCTACACTGTGTGGAATGAAACTTCAAAAAATGGAGGTAAACATGTCGACACTAGACCTAGCGGAGATTATATGACCGTTTGTGAGCAAGTGCTGTCCTGTATTGTCAAAAAAAAAAAATCCTGGAAAAGGATTTCTTAAAAAATGGTTTATCCTACTATTTCATGTCATAATTGCTGCTGTGAAAAGGTCTATTGTTCATGCTGGCTCACTGTCATTACTTCCTGGGCAGACATTCTTTACTAAAGTATCAGGACAGATTCTAGTGTAAAAAGAGACTCTGGTACAAATAGAAGTCTTTAGAAGTGACAAAGTTCAGGCTCTCAAATTAGTATAAAAGTAAGTCTTGGTTTCTCTGAATGACATTTCTACTGGCTGTTTGTGTGGAAAGCTGACTGAAACTTCAAATAGAGTTATCCTACATCTTGTCTGTTTCATCTTATGTCTTTTTTGTCACAAGACTACACAGAGCTATCGTTAATGGTCGTAGTAACACCTCTGTAAAACAGTTTTAACACAAACTGAATATTGTAACCCTCATGAGGATTTGTTGTTGGATTAGCCTTCATTAGTTTGGTGGAACATAAACCAGGAGCTGTCTCCTCCCTCCAGGTGCTGATAGGAGACGAGCCGGAGCAGGGGATGGAGAACCTGCTGGAGGTGGAGATTCCTGAGGACGTGGAGGAGAAACTGAAGGAGGCTGACGTCAAAGAACAGCAGGAGCTGGAGAGAGAGCAGGAGAGGATGAGACAAGAGGAAGAGGAGGAGAAGAAAAAGAAGAAGATTGATGCAGAGGGGACAGACAAAGGACAGGAGGACGGACTGATACGATAAATCCTGTTTATAGACCTGGAATCTGTAACATTTGTGGCTTTATCTGCTGTTGAAGTGACGTCTTCTTGTCATTCAGTCGTGGATATGTTAGAGCCACAGTGAGCTTTTATCACTGATGGAGTGCTGAGTGGAAAAGTAAGTGATGATATAAAGGACAAGTGTTTTATGTTCTGTCCCTGCATCAGTGATGGATTTTAAAACATAATTCTTCTGGTAAAGCCTTAATTAATGTTGTGAAAGATAACTTCTCTCTTCAGTTTCATCATCTATTACAAGGCTTGTATGAAGGTGTTTAGAAAATCCGATGGTATCATTGTCAGCATCGTTAAAAAAAAAACAGACTCTCCTCTTTCTGGTGGATCGATCATGTAGACTCTTAGATGACTGGCTGTCTGTGTCTCACTCAGTTGAGTCACAGTGCACAGATCTGATTGGCTGAGTAGAGACGTGTGAGGTGATTCTAGGTCACTAAACTTGTGCTTTGAAGGCTAGAAAACCTCCAATGACTTCTATCATCAGCAGCTCATATACCTGTGGAAGGAAGGTATTAAAAATAGATACCACCCAGCCTATGTCTGACAGCGATGTTCAAGGTTTAGTCAGTGATTCTAATCCAATACACTTTTTATTAAATTCACCAGATATATCCTCACGGTCTTCGAGCTGTCGGTTCTGTGTGCACTGAAAGAAAATCTGGTATTTGCACACAGCCCTCTTTGTAATGGGACACAAACAAAGTTGTGCACAGGACAGGGGGGAAGGGGAGATGGGTGAGAGGGGGCAGTTAGAGCAAGAAGGACGGTAAATGTGGCAAATCCTAATGTGCTGAGCTCCACAAGATGGCCGTTGAGTTCAAATACCAACAATTCTTCTCCTGAATCGCTGACTCCACCTTTTTAATTAGGGTCTCTCATGTCCAAAGAAATCATATCTTGGATGCATCTGACGTGAGATTTTAAGGACTTTTTCTGCCCTTTTTGAAAAACCCTATTCTGTACGGAACTGCTCATTAAAACCCTGATGTATCACAATCAATTATTTCATCCATTAATTTACCTGTGATTTGTGGTTAAACTAATCAATACCTGCACTGAATAAGAAACCTTTCAACTTTTATTTGAGAATATTTCCAATCACTGAAGTAACTGAGAGTGTTGTGAAATGTGCCTTCCTCTTAAATAATAATTACTCTTAATCTTTATGAAATCGACATTTTTGTCTGTTTATGTCCTTTTAAAAGAGGAGTTCCAGGTCTCTGTTTTATCTTCTGAGACTGAAATATAACACAGACTGACCAGAAGGGGGCGTCGGAGCATTCACAGTTTCTGTTGTTGATCTAAAGAAAACTGGACGGCTGCTCTCCTCTCTGCGGAAGTTCATCCTCAACTTGAAAATAAGCAGAAGGAAATATTGGAATGATTCAAAACTCACAAGTGCCTCCCAATAAATGACTCAACTGTAAGTCAAACAGCTTAAAAGCAAATCATTTTGACTTAATAAGTGTTAATTTAAGTTTGTCCTCATTTAGTAGTTTATGTCTCAGAATTCAGGTATTCTGATACATTCAGATGATCTCTGATTGAAACAAACTGCGATAAACTTTAACCATAACATGAGTGAGACTCACAAGATAAAATCAGGAACTAAAACTGCCTTCATCTGTATCTGTGTCTGTGTGTGTGTGTGTGTGTGTGTGTGTGTGTCCTGTTCCTCTGCCTTTGTGAGGACCAGTTTGATTTCAAACACTTAAGACTGAAGACGTTTAGAAAGTTAACAGTTTTTAAAAATCAAGACACTGTTTTAAAAGTGAGGGCATTTGTCCGGTTCTTAATTTCTTCAAGGGTCGTTTGAGGATTCAGACTTGGGGTTCAGTTTAGGGTTAGAGTTCTAGTCAGTGGTGTGAATAAGTGGGTTATAGGGAAGAATAAACATCCTGTGTTATAAACAGTGTAAGATTGTTCTTACATATTCATTGTACATCATTCAGTTCATGCAAGGATGTGACAGTGGTGTTTGCACTTTATGTCTGCTGGTTGACTTCAGGCATTAAAGGATCATTATAAAATTAACATTAGACACAGAAGAGGTGCAGAATTTGACGAGAAAACGACAAACTTCTGCATTTTGAGTGAAGTATTCCTGATCCCGAACACAAAGCTTTAAATGTGTGTACACCCAGTGCAGACTGAGGAATAAATAGGTATACCTGTATTTACCCTTGCACTACACCTCTGGGGCTGGCGAGTGGCTTACTGTATGTCAATGAGGGTCCTCACAGGAACAGAAGTACAAACCTTTTTGTGTGTGTCAGCAGATTGGAATTAGTGTAGAAGAAACATTTGCAGTTGCTGATCGACTTTCTGTAAGGTTAAAAGATTCATGTGCTATTATTTCAAACAGGGACCTTACTGTGTGTGTGTGTGTGTGTGCGCGTGTGTGCGCGTGCGTGTGTGTGTGTGTGTGTGCGCGCGCGCGTGTGTGCGTGCGCGCTAACCAGGTGTTTCTTTATCAGCGTCTCTGTG